AAGTAGCAAACAACAACAGTTTATCAAAGAAGGACAGGAACATGAGAGCCATTCCTTACAAGGTAACCACCAGTTTATGAGCCCTTTACCAAAAATTGACTTCCCTAGATTTGATGGATCAAATTCAAGAACCTGGATCTTAAGGTGTAATGCATACTTTAAATTGGTCCCTACGGTCTCTGAATCTCAGAAAGTTACCTTAGCATCAATGCATTTGGAGGGCAAAGCTGCCCTCTGGTTTCAGAATCTCAATACCAGGCACCTTGTTTTGAAATGGGCTCAGTTTGTGGAAATAGTCTCAGCTAGGTTTGAGGAACTCAGAGATGTCAAAATCATTGCTGAATTTAACAAGTTAAAACACACTGGTGCATATGCTGATTATGTGGAGAAATTTGAAGAGTTGAAAGCTTGCATGCAATTAATGAGTCAAGGGGATTTTTCTGAAGAATATTACATTGCTAGTTTCATAAGTGGGCTTAGTGAGGAATTGCAGGCATTCTTACACATGTTTAATCCCAAGACTCTTCAGCAAGCAATTGATTTGGGACAGCAACAACTCCTTACATTGGAGGCCATCACCAAAAAACTCAAAGGCTATCACAAACCTTATCCAAACCCACATGGCAGCAATATACAAAGAACCTCAGCAAATCCTACTCCTATAAACAGGATACCTCAGGCTACCTACACTAAACCCAACACCAAGCTTCTTACTGCAGCAGAGATGGCTGCAAGAAGGGAGAAGGGGTTGTGCTACAATTGTGATGAGAGGTTTGTTCCTGGCCATAGGTGCAAGCAGAGAATCAACTACATGATCATGACAGAAGAGGAGGAATTGGCTTATTTGCAGGCAGAAGATATGGATAAAATCTATGAAGAAGTGAACCAAGATATTCTAGATGAGGTGCACATCTCCTTAAATGCTTTGGATGGAGAAGGGAGTTTGTCCACTTTAAGGTTTGTGGGATATATAAAGGATCACAGGTTAAATATCCTCATTGACACTGGGAGTACCCTCAGCTTTATCAAGAAGTCTACTGCAGAGGCTTTAAAGTGTCATTTAACACCAGTTAAGCCTTTGAAAGTTAAGGTGGCAAATGGACAGAAGTTGTTCAGCAATCTTCAGGCCAGAAACCTCACATGGACAATACAAGGGGAAGAGATTACCTACTCACTCAGATTATTGCAAAGTGAGGGTTGTGATATCATCCTAGGAGGGGATTGGTTAAGGACTTGTTCTCCAATAGAGCTGAACTATGAGAGCATGACTGTGACTATTAACTTACAGGGAAGGAGGGTGACCTTACATGCCTTAAAACCAGGTGCTGAGTGCCATCTAATTCCTGAACATACATTGCACTCATTATTGCATAATGAAGAAGAGGACCAAATTGAGGAAATGTATTTGTTAGTCCTTGAACCTACTGACCCAGACACAAGGAGTGACTTAAAATCCATACTGAAGGAATACCAGGATGTTTTTAGTGAACCACAAGGGTTACCTCCTGAGAGGGGAACAGAACATCATATCATCCTCAAACCAGGTAGCACACCAAGACAGCAATACCCTTACAGGGTGTCACATGATCAGAAGAATGTTATTGAAGGAATAGTAAGAGAGATGTTGCAATCTGGTATCATACAAAATAGCAAATCCCCATTTGCTTCCCCAGTCCTGTTGGTGAAAAAGAAGGATAACACTTGGAGGCTATGTGTGGATTACAGGTACCTGAATGGCTTGACTGTCAAGCATGAATATCCCATCCCAGTTATAGAGGAGCTACTTGATGAGTTATATGGGGCTAAGTGCTTTTCCAAGATAGACCTGAGGTCAGGATATTTTCAGATACTTATGAATGAAGAGCACAGGTATTTAACAGCATTCAAAACTCACAGTGGGCACTATGAGTTTTTAGTCATGCCTTTTGGGTTGTGTAATGCACCAGCAACATTTCAGTCTCTAATGAATCAAGTGTTCAAGGATTGTTTGAGAAAATTTGTTCTGGTTTTTTTTGATGATATACTGATTTATAGTAAAACCTGGGAGGAACATTCAGAACACCTTAAGATTGTCTTACAGTTACTAAGGGACCACTCCTTGTTTGCAAAGGAGAGTAAGTGTCACTTTGGTGATACAAGTGTGGAATATCTGGGCCATATTATCACAGAAAAAGGAGTAGCTACTGACCCTGCCAAGGTAGAAAGCATGCTTAAATGGCCCATTCCAAATACAGTTAAGAAGCTAAGGGGATTCCT